CAAGCCAATAATCCTGGCAACTTGTACAGGGTTAGAAGCACAGATGACAGAAGAAGGCAGAGTTAAAAAAATAAATAAATAAATAAATAAATAAATAAAATAAAATAAAAAAAAAAAAAAAAGAAGGCAGAGTTGAGGTGCAACTTGGAAAGACCATGGGCAGGACCTACTTTAGATAAGCAAAATAGGACAAAGAACAGAAGCAAGAATTTTATTTTTGGCCCAGGAAGCTAGGAGGATACTAGTGCCATTTGTGAAGATGGGGAAGACTCAGGGTATAGTAACTAGGCATTTTCCTCTTGGGATTCTGTTTCAGCCCCGTTGATTGAGATGCACAGTAGGCCTTAGGGAAGAGTTTCAGGCATAACAGTGCAGGTGCAAATCTGAAACTTCAGAGAAATAGCCCAATACTTCATGCAAGTAGGTAGCAAGCCACAAGTGTCTGCTTTGCTCTTTACAGCTTGCCTGCACCTCTGGGCATTTTAGCTCATTAATCTCACAATAATCTCATGGAGTCATTACTGCTTCTGCAGTTTCAGTGATTAGTAATAACACTTGCCATGTCTATCTCCCTTTAAAGTTGGTACGACTCTTACTTCCCATCCCCAGTTCTTGCTGTCTGTTTTGCTCCTCTCTTAACAACCTCAGGAAACTGAAATACAAGGGCAGTGGTGGCCATGGGCACAGTAATTCCACCAGCCAGAATTCATCCCTGTGGAGGCACAAGGGAGATGACATGCGGTCTGCTTGATTGTGCTGGTGCTCTGTAAAAACCCTTGAAGTTTGGTGCTGGGTGCATTAGTCTTCTGCTGTTCAGAGTGGGTTTGTCCACTCGCCCAGCTGAATAATATAAAAATACTGAATCAGAGCTCTCGTTGAATTATTGTAAAGTGCTATTCATGGGGAAAAGAATCTCACATTAGTCATGAACAATTTTTTGAACAGTTTAATTGGCTATAATTAATGACATCTGCATATTATAAATTCCAATGTTTTGTTTTTCAAAAAGCAACAGTGAGTGAAAGAACTCACATGCTTTTATGCTTGAGCAGAAGTAGCAATTTTGTGACTAAAAGAAACATCCAGACCTTTATATCATTTACTCAGAGAAATGCCACATGAAATCAATAACCATGTATTTCAAACAAATCAGAGAAATCTTATATTTACTCGTGTGCTTTCCTGATTCATGGACAAAACAGCACTTAAACTGGGTCTGAATGGGTGAGTGATGTTACAGGTTGTGTCTAGATGTCTCTGCAAAGCCTCATATAGTCATGGGGACAGGCTTCTAGAGTTTATGATTGATTCAGTTGGTCCAATGCTGGGATTATGGGTGTGAGTGCCACATCCAGGTGGGTGTGGCCTATGTAAAACATAAGGGACAGAAAGGGTCTTCTCTCCATGCTCTTCCCGTTTTGCTCTTGCTGCTTCTGCCACCATGAACTGTTGTCCCTGTGCTATGCCACCCTGCCTTGGAGCTAGTTGATTACAAACTGAAACCTCCACAAACTGTGAGCTGACTTTGGGTGTCAGGTATTTTTGTCTCAGCAATGAGAAAAAAAAAAAAAAAGTAACCAACACAGATGAGTATAAGGAGAAGAATAGAGCTAGGTTGTTGATGGTATAGGAATTGCATAAATAAGTATTGAAGAATGTGCCAAGTAGAAGGAACATGTTGAAACCAAGACACAAATTCCAGAGTGGGCCTAAAACTGGAAGGGCATCCAGAGCAGGTGACTGAAAGTCCCCAGCACCAGCCAGGTCTGGCCTCCACTAGTCTGGCAGTGGGAACCTCTGGATATTCATTAACTGGGGATGACATCTATGATCAAATCTATGGTTGAGGATGCTCCAGAAGGCATATGTGGTGCCTCTAAATAAACGACACCTTGGTAGGTCTGTCATAATGGGAAAGAATCCCGATGGACAATGAGACAGCTTCAGAAATGGATCGTCACACTAGGCACGGTGGTACATAACTGTAACAGCAGCACTCTGAGAGGCTGAGGCAGAAGATCTGAGTTTAGTTTAGCCTGGGCAACTTAGTAATATGGCAAGACCCTGTCTCAAAATAAAAATTTAAAAATATTTTTTAAAAAGGGATTGGGGGACTGGGGATTTAGCTCAGCGGCATAAGCACCTGCCTTGCAAGCAGGCGGTCGTGAGTTTGATCCCTGGTACTGATAAAAATGAAAAAGACAAAAAAAGGGGGGAGGGGTGTTGGGGATGTAGCTCAGTATAAAGGCATGGGGTCAATTCCAAATGTCCCCCAAAATAAAAATGAGAGTAATTGCAGCCTATGTAGACCCCTTCCGGTCTCATTGCCTCCCTCCCCATAGAAGGGAATTACCCTGCCTGATTTGGGTACTGATTATCTCCTTGTTTATTTTTTGGTAGTTTAACCATATTTCTATGCCTCCCATTGGTACTCTTAGTTTGTCAACCTCTGAACATTATATGAGTGGGGTTAACCTGCACTTGTTTTTCTCAGACCCCCTGTTTTGATTCAGCTTTATGCTCCAGACAGCCAAGCATGTGAGGTGTAAGCCCTGGCTCATGCATCTGCGGTTCCTTTCAGCACTACATCCTACTGTCTGATCATCTCTCCCATTTGCTTACCCATCTGATGGATGGATTCCTTTCTCTAACAAAAATACTGCTGAGGTTGAGGGTGTAGCTCAAGTAGCAAGACCTTGGGTTGAATTCCCAGCACCAAAAGAACTGCTAGCACAGGACTTCTTACATGTGTGCACTCTGAGGCCCTGCAAGGGCTTCTGGGTGCTCTTGCACCTCTGGAGACTGACAAATTGTTTCTGAGATGACTGAGGGCACTCACTGCCCCCTCTGCACCACTGGCTGTATATATTTCCTTTCTTCATGTCTTTTACCCTGGACACTTCTGAGCAAAGGACTGACCAGACAAAAGCTATATGCCAGGAAGATCTGTTTGGCACTAGCGGGAGTGGGTGTGTGTGCATGTGGCCCCTTCCAGCTGAGATGGGTAAGAAAGCAGAGGACAGCGTTAGATACCTCCCTAGGGAGACCCTAGGAAGAAGCACGCTCCCTCTGGGGCAGGAGCCCTACAGCTGCTCTTCTTCATGGGAGTTTCTGTCCATCAATCCAGTTCAGGGTCCTTGGAAGGCACCAGACAGTGTGCCCAGCCTGCAAGAGAACAACAGACTTGGGGATTCTAGTACATTTCTCTGGTTCCCTTAAAAGGATCTGGCTCTAGGAAAGTTACTCTGCATCTTTAAACTAAATCCTCCTCTGTAAATCAGCCTCATGCTCTGCCTCCATAGAACCGTTAGGTGACACACGAGATAATTTACACTCATTGGGCCCTTGGTGCCTATAAAACTAAAACATAAAAACTAAACATAAAAGCCGGGTGCTGCTTGGAAGTAAGAAAAGGTGACACGTGGAGCAGGCTGGAATCGGAATTGGACGTGACTGTTTCACACACTGCTTTCTGGTCACTAAATCCGAAACAGGTTAGTTTCGGATGAACAGGACTTTCCCCAAGCCACAGACTTCCTTTGCGTCCCCCTCAACTAAACAGGACCCCCTTGGGGAGGGAGACAGGAAGCCCAGGCTGGTTTCCTGAGAGACTCCGCCTCCCCGTGCAGCACCCTGTGCAGGGGATTTCATCCTCATCAGCATCCCATCTTGCATGACGGAGGACGGAGGCAACAGGAACTCCTCTTCTGCCTTCCTCAAGTCTGAGACAACTGCTCTGAAATGAGTGTAGATCCACAGCAGTGAGCGATTTCAGGAACTGCTGCAGTGCCCTGCCTCTAACTAGGTAAAGAAACGCGTTAGGGAGCAAACTTTATGACACTGGGCACTTGCATGCAGAAGCTGATGTTTTCCCGTGGACCATCCTGGATGCTGGGAAGAAGCGCGCGGTTCATGATTTATGAACAACTTGTAAAACAAAGATGAGAGCCGAGCAGCGGGACTCTAAACCTCCTGTCTGAGCACGTCAAGCTGCTCTACAAAATACCACAGACCTGACGGCTTCAGGGACAGAAACCTGTTTCTCAGGGTCTGCGAGGTGAAGTCCTAGATCAGAGTGGCAGTTTGTTCCCATCTGGTGGGGACTCTGACCTGTGTGGTGGACAGCTACCTTCTGGTTACATCCTGCAAGGCAAAAAGAGGAGCTGAGCAAGGTCTCTGGAGTCCCTTTGGGACAACTCTCAACCCTAACGTTTCCCATTTCATGACCTCAGTGCCTACCAAGGTCCCTCCTCCTAAGATAATTACATTAGGAAATACAATTTGACATAAGAATTTGGCGACAAGAATCACAGTCCTTCCATGATACCCTCTCACTGATGTCTACGAGGAGATCCGAACCAGTGGGTGCATCAAAAACACCTGGAACGAGTGCATCAGTAGAGAAATAAGCAAATAAAATAGGATGCATCTTTTGAATAAAATTCTGTACAACCAAAAGAAATTAGATCTCTATTTTCCCGTGCGTGTGCATGTTTGCACGTACATGTATGAGAGCGTGGTTAGCTCTCAAATATAACATCGCTGTTTTTTTTTTTTTTAAAGAAGCGGGTTTCTAAATGAACATTCGGTAGAATATGCATTTTAGCAACATATTTTGCTCATGGAAAATATATTTATTTAGTCCTGGTTAAAACTCCTGGCACCAGCTTCTACCTAGGCATCAACCGTCATCCTGTCAACTCCCCTAGACCCCAATACAGCGCCCTCAGGCAGCAGGAAGTAGTTAAAGAGAGAAATCTTCGCCCCTTTTCCTAATAATCATAAGACGGGATACGAAAGTGTTGCTGGCCCAGACCAGACACTATAGCCAGAAAAAGCCTCAGCCGGAATTAGGGAGCTCCTGCCTCCCCCGCCCCTAGAGATTTACCTGTAACCCTATACCCCCCACCCTTGAAAATTACCTCTGGCGTCAAACTAAGACCAATGGGCTACCTGTGCATCCCTAATACTCTCTAGGTTCTACCCTAGGCCGAGGCTACTTATGTGCCTCACTCCACGTGTTCCAGAGAGAGAGATCGGCAGCCCCAGGGTGGAGATGCTGCACCCCAGAGGGGTCGGGGGTGTGTCTCCCCACATTCCCGAAACAAAGGTTACTTAATGTCTTAGTTACTTTATGCTCATCGCTGAGACAAAATACCTGAAGCCCAAAGTTGGGAAAGGAAAGATTTATTTCTTACAGTTTTTGGAGGTTTTAGTCCACACTCAGTTATCTCCAAGACAGGCAGGCATGGCTGGGCTGCAGTTCATGGCGGCCGCCAGCAGCAAACTCGAACCAGCAAAAAGAAAAACACACCTTCTTCCTGCCATTACATCACATCCTGGCTCCAGCCCTATGTGGGTGGAGCACTGACACCAGCAATCCAAGCACTATACAATGAACTATCACAAATGAACAATGCAAACTCATGAGGCCTGGGGGATACAAACATAAACCATGACATTCCACCCCTGGCCCCTAGGACTCATGTACATCCTTTATACAAATGACATTTAGTCCACCTCCAAGATTTGCCAAAGTCCTAACAGCTTCAACATTGCTGAAAAGTACAAGTCCCAAGTCTCCTCCAAGATCTATGGCAAACTCTTAACTATAAACCCCTGTACAAAAGAAACAAGGTTAAACATTTCTGAAATGCAAAGGCACAAGATAAACATTACCATTCCAAAAGTTACAAACAGGAGAATAGAAACCATTCGAAACAAAGCAATTCCAACATCCAGCAGGGCAAACATTAAGTCCTAGAGTTCTACATGCAGCATCTGAAGCAATCTGGTTGCAAGTTCCAAAAGCCTTGGGTGATTCCACCCCCAGGGCACTTCCAGCGATTTCAACTCCCACAGCTTTTCTCTTAAATCCTCTCTACTCGCTTTTTGCTGCTTCCCTTGGATCATCCACATTCCTGGCTTTTCCAAACTTCTGGGGTCTCCACTGCACCTTCAGCTTCACCCTTACATCTGCTTGGCCTCCCAGGCCCTTTGCAATCGAGGTGGAAGCCGTCTTACCCTTAGAATTCGTGCATTTTCCTTGCACCTAAAATCAGCACCTTGTGGATGCCACCAAGGTTTGCTGCTAGCTGAAGCAGTAGCCACGCTTTTCTCTCTCTTGGCTGTAGGGGTCAATTGCCTGGATCGCAGGGCTCTGTTTACCTGATTGTGATGAAAAGCTTCTCTATGTTGCCGCCTTTCTGGAAATTAATGTGGCCTCTGTCGCCATTCTGGAACCTCACATGGCCTCTGTCGACATTCTGGAACCTCATGTGGCCTCTGTCACCATTCTGGAGCATGGCACTCTGTAGATTTTTCCTCTGAGCAAAATTTTTCATCTTTGCTGTGAGGCTGCACAGGGTGGGGACTTGCTTCCTGGGATGCCCCGGGGCCATCTTTCTTATCTCTCTGTTTCTCCTCAGGAATCAAAATCTCAACTCTGTCTTTACAATCCACACCCTTCCTAGAATCTTCCTTCGGGTCAAACAGCATTGGAAATTATCCTGCTAGGCTCTTTGCTCCTGATTTGAAACATAAAGCTGGCTAAAAGCCCCAACAATAGCCATGCCACAGCCTCAATGTTTGATTGCTTTTTAATTTCTTTTTCAAGATAAATCAGTCCATTGCCCTTTGTGAAAGTCTCAGGCAAAGTCTCTGGGCAGGAGCAAAATGCAGACACACTTTCTGCCAAGCCATAACACACATCATGTGGAATCCAACAACCAATGCAGTCCTTTCCAGCAAAACCTCCCAAGCCTGGTCTTTACCATCAGGCTTTCTATCAGCTTTCTGGTCTCTTGAGCTCTGACCAGAATCTCCTCTACAGAACAGCCTAAGCTGCTCCAGCTCTATACATCCAGGCGACATGTCCAAACCTTTCCAAACTCCACCCATAAGCCATTTCCAAAGCCTCTTGAAAAACATAGCCAGGTATAGTCACAGCAAACGCCCGCACTCCTTGGTACCAAATTTCTGTCTTAGTTACTTTATGCTCATCGCTGAGACAAAATACCTGAAGCCCAAAGTTGGGAAAGGAAAGGTTTATTTCTTACAGTTTTTGGAGGTTTTAGTCCACACTCAGTTGTCTCCAAGACAGGCAGGCATGGCTGGGCTGCAGTTCATGGCGGCCGCCAGCAGCAAACAGGAACTAGCAAAGAGAGAGACACACCTTCTTCCTGCCATTACATCACATCCTGGCTCCACCCCTTTGTGGGTGGAGCACTGACACCATCAATCCAAGCACTAGACAATGAACCATCACATATGAACAATGCAAACTCATGAGGCCTGGGGGACACAAACATAAACCATGACACTTATATTTTATACTTCTTATCTTTCCACCACCGCCGCCCAGTCCTTCTCTTTCTCCCCCTAACAGACCTATCACCCAGAATTATTAATAGAACAGACCATTTATAAACAAGAGTCTCTTGGAATGAAAGATTCAAGAAGTAGGGAAGGACCAATGGAAGGGCACACTATCTGTAATGTTTAATTTCTTATGTTAAAAACACATTATGGTTAACTATCATCCATTCTGATGGTAAGGTAAGGAGCAAGAGAGAGAGGAAGACAGGGTTGACAGGGCTCTGGACATCCAAGGCACACACAGCTCTTTCCCATGTCCCTCCTGCAGGAAAGGACACAGGCCTGCCCACTCCGTCCCATAGGTTCTCGGTAGTCCATGACCAGCTGGGATGCTGAAGGCAGCTCCCACCTCATTTCTGTGGTGACTTAAAAGGACTTTTCCACCAAACTCAAAGACTTCCTGCCTCCACATCCCTTCTCAAAGCCACAGGCAATGACATCGGATTAGGATGCCTGGTGACCTCTGAGAAAATCCACACATCCACGCCTGGGAGTCTTCGCTCAGTAACTGGGGGAAAATTTCCACACAGCATTCCTTTGTGACAGCATAAGTGATGGCAAAGCTCAGGTTTACTGACAAAAACAGAAAAATTACAGATTATCAGACCCAGAGCAAATCAAATCATCACATTTGAGGGTCACTGTGGCTATGTCCAGTCACCTGGACTCAAGCAAATTCCCTCAGCTTAACTAGACCTGGGTCGGAGCAACTTTTCCCTTCAGCCACCTCTTCACACATGAGAAGTCCAAGTCTCACACTGTCATCCAGTGTCCTCCACGAGTCGGCCCTTCCTCCTTGCCTGAGTGGACAACTCTGCTCACCCTCTGGCCTCCACCCCTTGCTCCTCTTCCATCTCCTCTGTGTCCATTGTGCCCATCTCCTCTGTGGAGCAGAAACTGTCTCTGAGTGGAAGCACCCAACTCTCTCTGGCTTTGGCATCCATCTCAGTGAGATCCAAGGGTCTGTCCCCACTCCTGTGTGAGCTGGGGGCAACTTCAGCAGAGAGGAAGGAAGTACACAGAAAAGCAACTGTTCCTCTGCTCTGGAAGAGGAGCTGTGCACACGCCTGGGCATTTTGCTGTAGTTTGGATCTGCAGTGTCTGCCCATGTATTTTTAATGGTCTCCAGGAGTCATTGGGAAACTGTGGGACCTTCAGGAGGAGGCACCTTGTGGAAGGTCCTTAGGTCCCTGGAACAGACCTCGGAGGACACTATGATCCCGCTCTCTTCCTCTTTTGCTTCCTGGCAATGAGCTAAGTAGTTTTGCTCCACCCTCTCCTTCTACCATGATGTGCTAAGCAGCCTCATCCCAAGCCCAAAGCAATGAAGTTTTGAAAGCTCCAAAACTGTAAGCCAAAATACACTAAATAAGTCTCTGTAAATGAATTATCTATATATTTTGTTATAGTGATGGAAAGCTGACACATCCCTTATCCATGGCACATTTGTTCCAAGATTCCTCACAGATGCCTGAAACTGTGGGTAATCCTGTATATGCTGTGTTTTTTCCTGTATATGCATACATATTTTAAAGTTTAACTTACAGGTTAGGTACAATAAAAGATTAACACCAGTAGCTAAAAATAAAATAATTATAAGAATATACTGCAATAAAATTGCCAGCATCACACTACTTTTGGACTTTGGGGTCATTCCTAGGTAAAAAAAACAAGTGTTACTTAGTAATGCTTATTTAATAACATAAGCACTGCCATATCTGGACAGGTGTTATAAGTGAAACACTACTATCTCCTGGAAGAGTAGTGTAGACAGCGTGGATACACTGGACGAAGGGATGATTCACTCTCCCTCTGTTCAAAGCAAGAGAACAGAATGGCCCCAGGATTTTTATAATGCTGCTCAGAATGGCAGACAATGTAAAACTTATGAGTAGTATATTTCTACAATTTTCTATTTAATATTTTCAGGTCAAAGCACAAAGGAGGACTTTGGCTCCACCTGTGTCTGTAACCACTTGGGAAGAATTCCATCCCTGTTCTGATGAGGTCCCTGCACCACCCTCTGGTGATGGATGCTCCAGGCAGATCGGGCTGGTGTCATAGACAGCATCTTCTCTGCTGGACAAAAATTTGGCCTGAAATATCTGCTGGAACAAAATTCCTCCCCAATATTGTGGGGAGGTAAAAAAACCAGAAGGGGAGTATGAAGCAGCCAGAGCATCTCCCAAACTTTGAGGTTCCAATAAGTTCAGCATCACTTCACTCTCCTACCTCTTCATCTGTTCATTTCTCCATTCATTCACTTCAGGAATAAATAAGGAACCAAACTATGCCCAGAGCACACTGTGGAGACTTGGCATTGGCCTTGGTCCAATGGGGAGCTATCAGGGTACAGGAAGCAAGCATCAAATGACCTCATTTATAATGAAAGGTCAAGAGGTGGGAAGCACTACAAGGACCAGTGAATTTGAAGAGGGGTGCAGAAAGCCTGGGGAATGGCTGCTCCTTTAATCTGCATGTTGGAGAAGACATCTGTGACATGACAGCAGAGGCTTGGAGGAAGGAAAAGGGGTTTCCAGGCAGAGGAAGCAGCAGGTGCAAAGGCCCAGAGGCAGGATCTCAATGAGAGACTTGAAGAATATCAGTGTTACAAGTAGGTGTTAGTGGAAATAAAAATTAGCTAAGCTTAGACCATGGAGCCTTCACAGGGCCAAAGTAAAAACGCCAGATTCTTTTAGGTTAGATGACAATCCATTGAAGAGGCTTGAGCAGGAGAATGACTAGATTTAATTTTGCTCTGGTCCCATTTTTCTCAGATTCTTACTTCTTGCCTGTCAGCTCCACGATGTGACTTTCACAACTTTTCTGTCTCACCCTTGTCAGTTTCAGGCCAGGAAAGCCACATTTGCATCTTACCTGCATCAGAAGAGTGGAAAAACAGGGGGAGGGTGGTATTAAACAAATTGGAGGTAGAAAGCACTAAAGATCAAAAGGGAAAGGAAAAACCATCCAAACATAACTAAATATTGATTTCACTGCAAGCCACGCTGCTGGAATGCAGATATTTACAGCAGGTGTTGTTTTATGCAACAGAACAGACAAGACTTTGCAATCTTTTGGGGGGTGGGAGCTGGAGATGTAATCCAGAGCCCCATACACACCAGGCGTGAGCTCTATTCCAAGCCCGTGGCAGCTTATTTTATTTATTTATTTTTGTAGCACTGGGGATTGAACCCACAGCTTTTGCACTGAGCTGCATCCTCAACATTTTGTTGTTGTTGTTGTTTGCTATTGTTGTTTTGAGACAGGGCCTCATTAAGTTTCTAAATTCCCTCTGCTGGGTCCGAATTTGTAATCCTCCTGTCTCAGCCTCCTAGAGTGCTAAGATCACAGGGGTGTACCCGCACTCTGAACTTTGCAATCATTATTAAGTCAAACAAAGATAAGAATGTTAAGGAAAGAGCCCTTCTTATGGCTTTGCAGATGTAGGAGCCTGAGAAGCAGAGAGGTGAATTTGCTTACCCACGGTCTCATGGTCACTAAGTGCCAGCGCTAGGGCACCATCCCAGGAATCATGACAGTCAAGGCCTCTTTCAACAGCCCTAGATTGTCTCTCAGCAAAGACTTATAAAAAGAAGGAAAATAATAAAATAAATTTATACAACACAGACCAAATGCAAATTAAGAAACCGGATTTGAGGAACAGAAACTTGGTTAAGGTTGGCCCACCTAACAAACATCAAAGAGAAAGTGAGATATTTAAAATAGAACAAAAAGTTTCATCTGACTGAAAGTATGATTTTCACTCTGAAAATCTGCCAGGTTGCCTGTCAAAAGTTTTGTATTCAAACTTAGACATTTCAAAGCCTATTACAAGCTTCTCCGGAACATCATAGAACTGATATTTTCAGAGCACACATTTGCAAGACACATCATCCTCACCACCATTCTACATATGAGGAGACTGAGGCTTAGAAATAAAATAATTTCTTAAAATTAGAACTTGCACCTTGACCCGCAGGCTGCTGAACTCTTTATGATGTAACAGAAGGAAACTCAAGCTTGAAGACAGGATGATGCAGATTTGAATTCTAACTTTGCCCCTTAGTTCTTCTCTGTTGTTGGGCAACTTATTTACTGCACAGGGCTTCAGTCGACTCAACTCTAAAGTAGAAAGAATAAAACCTACTTTAGAGATAGAAACTACTGGGAAGATTCAATGACAGAATATATAAAACATACCCAGTTTTGTGCCAGCCACAAAGCAGGTACTCAGTCAAGTGGCCTCAGATGAGAGATACATAAAATCTTCACTTTTTCATTCTCGTTGCATGGCTTTTCTAGCTATTCATTATACGTATGACTTAAAACGCAGGAATGGCTTTGTTTTGTCTGGTCTCGGTCCTTTATTCCTTACTTCCTCCCATCCCACTTTTTTTCCAGCACGGAGGATTGAACTCAGAGCCTCTGCACTGTACTACATCCCTAGCCCTTCTTTTTTGGAGACAGGGTCTCACTATATTGCTAAGTTTCCCAGCCCAGACTTAAACTTGCTACTCTACTGCCTCAGTTTCCCAGAATGCTGAGATAATAAGCATGAGGCACCATGCCTGGATCTTAGCTCAGTTTCTTATTTTAAAAGAGCTTGGTATGCTGCTATGATTTAAGTGTCATTGGTCCCTAAAAGTTCATGTACTGCAAGCCTGGTTCCCAGTGCAACAGTACTGAGAAGTAGTGGAAGCTGAGTAGACGATGCAGAACCAAGAAAAGGTAATTATAATATTTATTTACTTCACAATATTCACTTTGCACACTGCTTTTTAGAAGAGATTAATACAGGTTTCCTGAGTTCATTCTCATGAGGATGGATTGCTATAAGGGAGGCCCACACTGTCCCCGAGTCCCTTCCATGTGCCACTTACCATTCCTGCACATCTCCTACCACTGTGATGCCATCCGTCACAAGATCCTCACCAGAGCTGGGTGGATGCCAGCACAATGCTTTTGAATCTCACAACTGTGAGCTAGATAAACCTCTGTCTTCATAAAGTAAGCCATAAGTATTTTATTAAACCAACAGAACACAGACCAAGACATCTGGTTAAAGCAGAGATTTATTGACCAAAAAAGCAGAAAATCATTGCAAAGAAAACAGCCAGTGCTTCATTCATTCATGCAATGAAGACCCAAGAAGTGGCTACCATTAACCAAGACTTAGGGATGACGGCAAACTCGGTAGGCACAGTGCTGAGTCTGGGGATCTTACAGTTATGGAAAAGACAAACATCAGGCCAGCCACTGGCTCCCCTACAAAGACTCAGACTCCCCTGTTCCCTTGGATCTTTAAGGGCTCAGAAGAAATAAGCAAACAGAAGGTTGGTTTTGTTTTGTTTTGTTTTAACTTCCCTCTGCTTCCTCTGCTTCTCTTCAAAAAGATCTCCGATTAAGTGAAGGTCCAATTTAAGCTGAGAATACAAGCCCTTCGTGATTCCACTGCTACTCACATTCCCATTGCTGAGAACTAATCACGTGGTCATACTTGGCTGCGATGATCACAAAATTGATGCCTCATTGGGAGGTCACCTTCTGCACTGCGAAACGGGGAGCGTGAATTTTTGGTGATCAAATGGCCACTTTCCACATAGCCAGCAAGGCCAACCAGTAATCCTAACGCCTGATGAAAAGGAAACAGGAAAACTACAAATACGGAGATGAAATACAGGGAGGGAGCTTATAACTCACAATGTTCATTTTGCACAGAATAAAACTCCATATAAACACTACAAAAATGGCTATATCATACAGTTATAATCCACCAAATATAAGTTGAAGTTTTATGTATTTAAAACCTTACTTCAAAATATATATGACAAACTCTGATAAAAATGCAAGTTCTCATAATGGGTGCATTTAAAAATATTTCTCAGAAACTGGATGATCAAACATAAAAATGAATAAAGTTTGAGAACCCCTGACTAATGAAATTAGCTTTTATACTCTAATACATATATGGAGAGAAATAAATTTTTATATTTCAGAAATTACACATTTTTTCCAAACTGCATGAGACCTTTTCCAAATGTATTAGGCCACAATGGAAATCATAATAAATTTCTAAAAGTAAAATTCTGACAGTACATATTTATGAACTGTCATAGAATAAAACGAGGAAATCATAACAGAAAGATAACCAACAAAAATCTATCCTCTTCTACATTTTTAACTATTCTACTAAAAAAAATCCTAGGCTTGAAAAGAAATGAAAGCAAATTACAAAGCCTTAGGACTGAATCACAATAAGAACAATACATTTATATCAAAGTCCATGGGGTTACACAGGCAGCATTCCGTGGGAAAATACACGGCTTTACACAAATACAGTAGAAATTCGGAAAATGTTTAAAATAAATGAATCAACCAAGCTTTCAACTTAAGAACTGGAGGTAGGGAGAGGAGGAAGACACAGTAACTAAAGAAAACAGAAGGAAGGAGTTGAGAAAGATAAAATAATTGTTAATAACAATAGAAAACAAAACAACGTTGAGGGATTAAATTGTCTCTTGGAAAGAAACAATGGAAAGTTGGGCAACCTCTGGGATCCTTGTGAAGAGGACGGAAACAAAAGCGGTTAAAGTGCAGGCATTCTGAAATTACTGGATGAATGGGTTGATTTCCTAGGAACACAAAGATCCATTCAAGGAAAAATAAGAAGCCAGGCTGGTGACACATACCTGTAATCCCAACACTCAGGAGGCTGAGGCAAGAGGATTGATGAGTGTTCAAGGCCAGCCTGGGCTACATAGTGAGTTCAACATCATCCTGAATACATAACAAAAATCTGTCTCAAAGCAAAAAGGAAAAGAAAAGAGGAAAGTTTGATATAATCATATCATAACCAAAAGGGAAGAGTTTCTGAAAGATCTACCCCTAAAAGACATCAAGTTGAGAGGGCTTTTCTAGTACATTCTACCAGACTTTCAGAAAAAAGGTAAATCTAGATAAACTGTCTCAGAGCCTAGGAAAGATAGGAAATCTACCTAGCTCATTTTCTCATTTACAGTGTAGGATCAGTACAGCAATGTTAACAGATACCTACATGTGGATCTACACACACACAACACATGTACGTATCCATCATATTTATACACCACATGTATGTATACATAAGGCTGTACAATCTCATAGACAGCAGCATATTAAAGGAATAAAACCAAGAGATGATTCTAGGAATGTAAAGACATTTCCATATTAAGAATCTGGTAGAGATCAAATTAGAAAAACCACATGATTACATTAACAGATGTTTCAGAGGCATTTGATAAAATATAACATCCATTTATGAGAGCAAACCAGAAAAAAAAACCTAGCAAAGCATGTTAATAACCTAATCAAACATCATATTGTGGGTCAATTATACATCCCTCCTATAAAAGTCAGGACTAGGGAGGGAGGGGATGGAGAAAAGTTGGTTACTGAGGACACAGATGCAGCTGGATTGGTAGAATCACTTCTGATACTGTATATCACAGTGTGGTTGATATCAAATAATTAGAGATTTCAAAAATGCTGACAGAGAAGTACTCAATGTTCCCCATACAAATAATAAATGTCTGGATGAGGGATATGCTAATTACTCTCATCTGATCATTGTACATTGTAAACATATATTGAATATTACGTTGTACTCCATAAAGTTCTGTGTCAATTAAAATTTAAAATATTTCAAAGAAAGATTAAGACAAAGTCCTCTCATTGTATTGCAAGTACAATGGAATGCATGAAGACCGGGAAAAACTGAGACTATTTATTGGCATGTCTTTGAGTTAAAGAAAACAATTTCATATATTTGTTCACACCTTGCAGTCTACAACGGGTTTCTATACGCAATATCTGCTGGGGCCCTCACAATGATCAAATACCCTGGGGACAGCTGTTATTTTAATTTTGAGGATGAGGAGCCTGAGGGTTATAGAAATTTTAGATTTCCCTAAAGACCTGGAGCTGGTAAGCAGTGATGGAGGAATCAACTCCAGGCTTTCCTGTTCTCACTTCCTCGATGCTGGGCACCTTTACTTGGAAAGAAACAATGGAACATCCATGCCATCTCACTACACAGACTGACTGTCACAGGCAGCTTTGCATCACTGTGAGCACAAACCTGAGCAAAATAACTCACAGGAGGAAAGGTGTGCTCCGGCTCACAGTTTCAGGGGGTTCAGTGCATGTCCACTGGTTCCATGCTATGGACCTGAGTTGAGGCAGAACTTCATGGTGGAAGGACAGGGTAGAAGAAAGCTGCCCACTTGTGGCAACCAGGAAGTAGGAAAAAAGAGCCAGAGAGGCAGAGACTAGGGACCAAGGAGAGTGCCCAAGGTTGTAGGCCAGTGATCCACTCCAACAATTTCCATCTCCTAAATTTCCATTACCTCTCAGTGATGCCACCAAATAATAATCTCATCAATGGATTGATCCATTTTGCTTTGAGTTTTGTTTTGAAACAGGATCTTGCTATGCAGTTGAGGTTGGACTTGAACTGTGTACCCCAGGGGGGCTTCAAACTCAACAGCTGTCCTCCTGCCTCAGCCTCTGGGGTGCTGAGATTACAGGCCTACACC